ATTTCATCAAAGGTGGCTCTTGTGACTTAGTGACCAGTGTTTAGGTGTTGGCGAAATGCGAGTACAGTGCACACGAAATTCACAACGTTCCTGGCTATCTTTATCGCTGGACCATATAAAAAGCGGTCGAAGTTATGTTTCATAAACCAGACAGGTCACTAATTCCACTTTCGGCAAGAAATACCCTGATTATTCGTACGTTTCATTCATTTCTTTTGTGTTTGACTAACAGAAACGGTACGTTGAAAACAGTGTGCACATATCTTGCTTCTTCGTCCTCTCTTTCTCTGCCTTTATTCGATGTGTGCATTTCGCATCCGGATTGTGATGCCGAACTCGTTCTTTCTTGTCACAAGCCCTGTTCATTGAAAGCGGTTTATTGGGATTAGGTTTCAACCGAAACCTTTTGTTGCTCTTCTTCTGGTCACAGCTCGGTTTGTGATTGCGTTCCTTATGAATAGTCTTCTGTTGTCTTGATTACTAAACTGCTACTGCTACGACTGATACGCATTTATGTGCACCGACACGCTTTGTTGAACAAGACGAGACCCTCAGAGATACGTTTAATAGCCTGGTGAAAGCTGTCAAGCGCAACCGCAGCATAAAAATCGTGATGGTAATAGCAGGTCAATCCAGTCTGCGTTACACATTATCGATCACCTGGTTGAAAGTAAGTTTATAGGTCGTTTGACATGAATCCCATTGAATAAAATATAGATTGAAGAAGCACAAATTAAAGGAATCATTTACTGTCCATCCCCGCTGCGTAATACAAGCTAATGAACTGTTTCTGATACTGCGTCTCATGTGGTGAAGTATTTTTTTTACATTAAATCAGGCACCATTTTACTTGCTCATGGGATCAATGTTGGTTGCGTGAGCGCAGTCCGGTTTTGTCCCGTTTGTAATAGGGCCCGTGTTTACCTGATTTGTTTTCGGTGCCTACTGACTGGTTTGATAGCGCCAAAACGTTTGTGGTCACGGTTAGTTTGAACCACCTCTTCCGTAATACCGGTTTACTGAAGGACGTGGTCACGCGGCTGCGATCCCATGATTTGTTGTGTCAACACAACGGACTAATTGATTCAATCAAGATGGAAAACAATAATAATAGATTCTTAAACAATATTGACGGTATATGTTGCTCGAGTTGATCAGCTCTGTTCGTTTTCTCATCGCGCTCGTCATTTGGATTGTTAACGGTGTGGAGATGCTCAATGCGGTTGTTTGGCTTTGAATCAATATCACCGCGGCTGAGGATTATTGCTCTTTACAATCTCATTGTCATTCTCCACGCATCGTTCTACTACGCACAGAGTATTGCCTGCCTCCTTATCCTCTTCAAAGTACACATGAATAATGCGAATACTGCATGTGGTTTTGTGGAACCCAAACCTTGATTGGATTCACTCATCTACGACAGTTTTTGGACATGTCTGTCGTAAAGAAGTTCAGGATTGATGTCAGTTAGCTTGCGGTCACACATATACTTGTTCTGTACTTCACGAGTTTATCTACTGCCATTTTCACGTGTTCGCTCTAGCTCCGTTTATGCGATGCTTCTCAGCTGCACTCTTCTCTGGATAGACACGTCATCTTTTGTGATGAGATGGCATTGAATAAATTGGACTTGTATCAGTGAAATAATTCTTATTTTCAATCGATGTTGGTTGTTAGTCTCTCGGGTCACAGTGATTCATGAATCCAACTGTATCGTAAAACGTAGTGTCACTATTGGGTAGATTTTAGAGATGAAGCCCGTATTTCTGTTCAGCTTTACACTTTTCAACAAACTCAATAATTGTTGTGTCGCACTCACGAAGCACACACAACACAATAACGCAAGGCACAGTATCAATGAAGAACTCCGTGAATCCACCATAACATGATACAACACAGGACAACAAAATGGCATTCAATAACGATGGCTTGGAAAACAGATCGCATGCCTCAAAATGACTTGTATGATATGACAGCGCGCCAGCACATGTATAGACGCAAGTTAGGTCGGCAAACTACCGAGCGCGAGCCCCAATGCCCACATAAGTCGTCTATCCTCCAAAATACGGAACGCACGCCACAGGCTTTACTAGCCTTCTCCCGGCTACGAAAGTGAGAACAAAGGTGACAAGCAACAAATGAGTACTTCACACAAAAATCAAGTCGTATTTACAGCGTCAATTCTTCGTGTATGCTGTTGCGGTCTCTGGACACGAAGACCTTGGGAATTGATGCAAACAATGGGAAAATCCACAGAATTGATCAATTAGCAGCCCTAAGCTAGAGGTAAACTGAGAAGGCTAGATAGCGGGGGAAAAGGTTCAAATTATAAAAAAATAATTTAAAAATACTGAAAAATTGACCATTTTAGGTAAATATATTTTCTACCTACCAGTAGTGATGTCAAAATTTCTTATCACTGAGGCTGAAACGCAGTGTATATTGATATACGGTTATAGACTCTTATGAGATGACGAGTCTTTACTTACGCAATCCATCCGAGATCTCCAGGATTAGATCATTGATGTTTGCATTAATTTAGAGTCGGTGGAGTTTGGCACACTGAGGCAAAACGATACATGTTGATATTTTTCGCCATGGAGTTCGCTGTCACGAACCAAGAACTGAAATTGACGTTATTCTTTTGGGAGATTAGGTGTACATGTCCTAATGAGATGCTGACACTCAGTTTAACAGCCCTTAGATGGACTAAGTTCATATTCATCCGTTCATGGAATTGATGAATTCGGAAACATTTTTCGCAGATCGGTGATTCGTTCCACGATGATGGAATGCGCTCTTGTGACCAGATGTTATGCGTTAAAATCAGTAATGGAATCTANCGCCCCCCTCCCGCCTTGAAAACATTGAGAGGAAGCCCGGTAGGTCCTGTTCCCTTTCCTCACTTCAGTACAAAACCGAACTTCTGCTTCTGCGGAGGATAGCCTAACACCGCCCATGGAGCTTCAGTTACCGATGAGGTAATCTGGTTAGCGACGGATCAGATGAACTATTTCTTGAAGTATTCCGCTCAGAGATCAAGCCGTTGTTCCCTACTGTCACTACTGTCCACTTTTATCCCAGACTGTTTCACTAACTGGAGTTCGCCGACCTCACGCATTGCGTATTAGTCGGAACAGTCGTTTACTATCCCCTGATGCAGTTGCTACGTCCATTTTACTAGCTACTACTGCCCACCAGCTCTCACTTCTTTGAGGTTCTTCGTGGGCTGGCGTTGCAGATGTAATCTGAACCTGTTTTGATGCGGGTGGTCGGGATTTTGCCGCTTTTGCTCTATCAAGGCTAATGACTCATGAGATATCGAATGCCTCTGACGGGCTTCAGGCTCAAACTCGCAAGCAATTTTCGCTGCGGAATGCGTTGTTCGTCTAATCTGATTGCGCTGCTCATCTACACCACTTTATTGAAGTGCTCTTCGTTTACGCACTAGCCCTGACTTATAGCTTGCACGAAGTGCGGGGACAGAAGGTGATGATGAACTAACCGAATTTACTGGTTTCATCGCCGTCTAGCGAGTCGTAGAGTGAACTGCATCAAATCTAATACGTGATCAGATTCAACACAGGTTGTCCAATAGGGCCTGCAGTTTTCTACGAAGCCACACCAACGGTAGCTCATTGCTACGTGGCCGATTTGTTTTAGCGTACTAGTTGAATTGGAGTGCGGCCTTACTGTCTGTTGAGAGCTGTATCGTAAGTTGGTACTGGACAGAAGCAGATGGTGATCTGCACAGAACTGAAGAATTCGATCACCGTTATGTTTGATGGCTGAGTAGAGCACAACTTCCTCTTAAGCAAGCTTATGATATACTCAGGTTTCCAATCTGTGCGTTAGAATCACCTGCACGTACAACTATATCGAAGCTTCGACTCAACCGAATGATTTTGGTAAGTTCATCGTAGAAATCGTCATTTTTGTGCAACAGAAGTGCGATTGATCGGGGCATAAGTTAAGATAATGAACAAACAACTTTTTGGTATTTCTCCCCTTCCGGACACTGATTGATCCCTGGAGTCGTCTCGCACATAAACGACAATCGGCGGGGATCCAAACGATAAGCGAAGAGTCAGCCTTGTTACTAAGTGCAATGTCTACATCGCGCTGGCCTACTGAACTGGCTTCGTCGTCGCGTGCTGTGCGAAGAGCGTACCTCAAGGACACATCTGGCTTACTCAAGTGGCTTTCAGTCGCAGGATCTTGGATTAGAGTTTCCGATACGCAGCAGACATCAGTTCCCAAAAGGTTTATTGTACGTGCCGGACACGCTTGATAACTCACGTGTATCACAGTCCTCACTTATGTTATAACAGAAAATAGTTAAACGAAGATTGGGATGTCCACCCACCCCGCTCTGTACGATTGACAGCGCGGTCCTGATTATCCTACGCGGCGACTGATGAAGTATGGAGTTACTTATGGTTTGTGTTTGCATTACAGTTTGATGGACGGGTGCTGCAAGCCACTAAGCAGAAAAACGATTAGGATTCTCAAATAAAGCCTTTTGTTCTGAA